TAATTATATTTAATAATATTTTACTAATTTATATATTATAGTTATAATAATAATAATTAATGGGCTTTAATTTAGTACGCAATTGTACTTTTTTAAGACTCATTAATATAAATAAGTCTAATACTTAATGCACTAGTCAATTGATATACTGCAATTATTTCTAACTCTCTTTAAGCAACTCAAGCGCCTAGTTATATAATTCAATATTTATTAGCTGCTAAATTAGAAGATATTCGAAATGATGCATTAAATGAAGGTTATTCAGAATTTTTATATGGTGGCTTCAAAAATACGTCTAATTCAGCAAGCTGTGGTGAAACCATTTATGATAAGGATGATAGACCAAGCAAACGTACTAGAAGTCAAAGACAAATTATGTAAAATTTTTCAAAATAATTATATATTTTGATAAATAAATAAATAAATACAATTTAAAAACTTTTAGTTTGAAGTATAATATATTATTTATAATATGTAATAGAATTACAAAAAATAAATTATACATATAAACCATAAATACATATATTATTGCTAGAGTTTGAGTCGGTTTTAAATTTTTTATATTACAACCAGTTTAACCGGTTTCAAGCTCTAATTATTGCACGTAATTAATTATACAAAATACTCCGCTGGGTCATAGGGTATAGGGGTTACACGTAATACCTATATGTGATGGAACACTAGTAAGCACAAAGGTGTGCACGTTAATATATACGAATAAACACATAAATTTACACGGGACAATGTATGGGAAGACACGTGAAAAAGCACGTAGTCACGTGCAATGTTGCACGTAATCCATGCCTTTTTACGTGTGACAAACATGCTTTCCCATGCACTGTCCCGTGTTGCATTTCGTATAGTTTCGTATATTTTCGTACTAATAAATTTCTGTGTTTAACCAGAATATTCCGTGCTGCAATTTTTCATAGGGATTCCGTATAAGCATGAAATAACAAGTAGGTGTATAATTGTGTTTTGACCCTAAATTAAACTTAATTTGGGCCATTATTCAAAATAACGACCTTGCGCGTTATTTCGTGCTTATACAGTAATATATTAGATCGGGTAAGTTAAGATAAATTAGAGTTAAAGATGGAT